TGATTAAGTCAGCTGCCTGCTGAAATCCTTACATCCTCACTCTCCAGAGAATAAAACAGAATCCAGAGTATCCACGACATGGAAACTATGAAAAAAAGTTAAATGGAAACTCTGGAACAAATATCTGAAGCAAAAACAACAGGATGGGGGCCAGCATTGTGGCTTAGCAGGTTAAGCGCCGGCTGCAACACAGGCATCCCATATGAGTGCTTGAGTGTTCAAGTCGCAGCTGCTCTGTTTCCACTCTAACTCCCTGCTAATACACCTGGGAGAGAGCAGTGGAAGCTGGCCCAAGTACTCAGACCCAGTTGGAGTTCCAGGTTCCTGGCTTTGGCCTGGCCCAGCCCCTGCCATTGCAGCCATTTGGGGGAGATAATCAGTGATGGATCTCTCTCTCTCTCTCTCTCTCTCTCTCTCTAACTCTGCCTTTCAAAAACTAAAATCTTTTTTTTTAATCAACAGGATGGACTTAATAGCAGAATGAAATAACAAAGGAGCCAGTGAACTTGAAGGTATAGCAATAAAAAGTATCCAATGTGAATAAGAGGGAGAAAGGACTGATAAATAATGAATAGATCCTCAAAGACCTCTAGACAATAATAGAGGTCTAGGGGCCGCATTGCAGTTAAGCCATTACTTGCAATGTCATTGTCCCATATCAGAGCACCTGTTCAAGTCCTGGCTGCTCTGACTATTCCATTTTCCATTCAGATTCCTACTAATGACCTAGGAAAGCAGCAGAAGATGCCCCAAGTTCTTGGACCCCTGCCACTCACATGGGAGGAGACCCAGATGGAATTCCAGACTGCTGGCTTTAACCTGCCCAGCCCTGACTGTTGCAACCATTTGGGAAGTGAAGCAACAAATGGAAGATCTTTCTCTCTCTCTCTCTCTAAAAAAAAAAAAGTCTAAAATATGTATGATTGTAGTCCCAGAAGGAGGAGAAACAATGGATCAGAAACATTATTTAAAGAAATAATGGTTGAATATTTCCCAAATTTGACAAAAGACATACATTTACAGGTTCAAGTTCAATAAGGCTCAAACAGACTAAATATGAAGAAAACTGCACCTGCTTGTATCATGGTCAGACTGCTGTGAATCAATTAATTGTGAAAAATATATTGTACTAACAGGAGATGTTAATACTAGGGGAAGCTGGGTGTAGGGTGTATGGGAACTCTCTGTACTACTTCACAATTTTTGTTTTATAAATTCAAAACTATTCCGAAATTAAAAGTTAAAATTGAAAACTGCTGAGAACCGAAGTTCATGAGAAAATCTTGAAAGTAACTACAGAAGAGCAACATTGAATCTTATTATCATTTGAGGAATAGAAGGAACTATGGAGATAGTGGAAAACATCTCTATTTTTTTTTTAAGTTTCATTTATTTGAAAGGCAGAGTTACAAAGAGAGAGAGAGAGAGAGAGAGGGAGGGAGGGGGAGAGAGAGAGAGAGAGAGAGAGAGAGAGAGAGAGAATCTTCCATCAGCTGGTTCACTCCCCAAATGCCCAGCCTAGGGCTGGGCCAGGCTGAAGCCAGGAGCCAGAAGCTTCAATCAGGTCTCCCACGTGAGTGGCAGGGGTCCAAGGACTTTGGCCATCTTCTGATGCCTTCCCAGGCATGTTAGCAGGGAGCTGGATCAGAGGCAAAGGAGCTGGAACTCTAATATGGGATGCTGGCATCACTGGCAGAGGCTTAATCTACTGCACCACAACACTGACACCTGCAAAATCATCTCTAAATCGTAGGGAAGAAAACCATTTTCAACCCAGAATTCTATGTTCAGTAAAAATATCCTTTAAGGATGAAGGCAAAATAAAGACATGTTCAGGTAAAAGAGAGGCTCCTGCTTCTAAAACTTGCTACTTTCTCTCTGGGACACACGGTCTCCCCCCGCCTCCCAACGTCACTTCCCTATCTTCAGCTTGCTAACTCATCCTTCACATCTAAGCTTAGATGCCACTTTCTTTGGAAGCTTTTCTGATCCCAAGTTCAAATTATCACCTCCATTCATGCACCTCTAACCCCCTGTCACTCTCCTGTCTTGGCACTTATCGTGCTGTATGTAATTGCTTGCTGACTACCTGTGAACTCCACTGAGCCATATGCTCCATGAGGACTAGCAATCTGTTTTTCTTATTAGTGTCTTTGCAGTTCCTGGCACATAATATGCACTCACTTAACATTTATTGAATAAAGGAAAGAATGACTAACCCCAATTCCAAATTTACTTTTCTACTACACCGGGCTGCCAGCATGGAGAAGGAGGTACCAACACTACTGTCAGATTCACTGCTATTATACTTTCTTCAACTTTATGAAGGAAATCTACCATTCACTGAAAAACTAAGGCTTTCTTTGAACTCTCGTTTTCCTATGATTGCATTGGGGAATTACCCTTTTGGAACAATCTGTATGTGCTTAACACAGATCCTTGGTAATTAATGTTGGTGCCAATCCTCATTTAGTGTAACTTCAAAATAAATGGTTAACAATAGATAAATGATTAAACTATGACACATGCAAGTAATAGACTATAATGCAGACACAAAAATCATGTTTATGAGCTCGTGGAATCATTTGACAACATGCTTGTATGTTAATTTAGGAAAAAACAAGAATACAAAATTGTGTGTACAATGCAATTACTGCATTTTTTTTTAATCCATGCAGAAGGAAAAATAACACTGAAAAGAAATACAGCAAAATCTTAACTGTGGTTTTAATTGGGTAGTAGGATTATGAGGACTTTTAATTTTTTCTGTATTTTACACATTTTCTTTAATAAGCATGTATTACCCCTACAGTAGTGAGGAGGGACTCTCTTTGATAAAAGTTGAAAATACAAAGTCTCAGGGTAGGGAGAAGTCCCCTGGTACATCAAGACACAATCATAAGTCAAAGAAGACTGTGTTTAAGCCTTCTTTCTCTTTAACTTATATCTTAATGGCCAGATGCCACTTACAGATTAACTGAGCACATAACTTTCTTGAAGGATGCTATAAGACTGGCCCCAGAAAAAGAAAGGGGCTCAGCAGTGGAAACTGCCAGAGGCAGGAGAAAAGGGACTCAGCAAAGAGATCAGAGAAAGTAAACATAAAAGAACAGGAAATGGGAGGGAGAGGGCAAGACAAGAGGATAGGTATACTTTCCGACATTGGGGCCCACATGAAAAAGGAGCCAGTGATGGATTTTTATAACAGGCATAGCTAGCATATTTTTCATGTTGTTTTATGATTGGCTGTATTAAGGGTGTGCATATTTGTGCTTTTGATCCCCTTGCTATTCTTCCAAGAAGCAGGCTGTGTATTTCTTCAGCCCACATGTGCTGTCATATCTGCCTGATACTGGCAGGGAAGCTCAACTGGACACCAGATCTGGACATTCTGGAGCCCACTCTGGGAGCAAATTGCATAACCACGTGCCTATCTATGTGAGCTATAGATTTAGCAGACCACATGGGACAGTCAGGAACCTTCTGGGTGATAAAGGAGATCTGGATGGGGATTCAAGGAGCCCCAGAGGCACTTATGAAAAACAAGAATGTAGATCGGTTCTCTCTGGGCCTAAACCCCATTTATGATATGCAACCCGACTAACTGAACAATGCTGGCTGTTAGCCAAAACCATTTTTGTACGATATTTATATTCTTCTGTTGACTTTGTGTAGGACTTCTGTCATCCTTGAAGCTTTTAGTGGGCTAGTGGGGTGACTGATGGAGGATTTTAGTTTATTAAATGTCAAGGGAGGGTGTTGGGATTAGCAATTAATTTCTCCATAGTTTGATTGGAGTGTAGCTATCTCCCAGAAAGAAATTTTCTTGCAAACCTTGTCTTTTCTGTATGGAAATGCATCTTTTAACCCATCTAGAGGCCAGGAACAAGAAGACTTAACCTTAAAAGAAGGGCATGTAAGATCTTAGCATCATTCATGAACCTTTAGAGGGTGATTGTAATTGTCTTACAACTCCTACTGACATAACGTGCAATATAAACGACTGTGGCTTTCATGACCACATGCTAGACACTAGCCACAGAGTGACAGAGACAGAGAGAGAAAGAGCGAAAGAGATCCTCCATCCACTGGTTCACTCTCCAAATGCCCACAATAGCCGAGGCTAGGCCTGGCTGAAGTCAGGAGCCAGAAACTCCATCTGGGTCTCCCACGTGGGTGCCAGGGGTCCGAGCACTTGAGTTATCATCTGCTGCCTTCCAGAAACAGTAACAGGAAGCTGGATCAGAAGCATGGAATATCTGGGACACAAACTAGCACTCCAATGTGAGAGGCAAGCATGCCAAACAGTGGGACTCTCTGTACCACAGTGCCCACCCCTGAATGTAGCCACTTCTGCAGACACACACACAGAGACAAGCAAACATGAAACAATTGCTATGGTTTGCATATATTCCCTAAAGTGCTTGCATCGGAAACTTAACTCCCAGTGCAACAGTGTTAAGAGGTGGCACCTTTAAGAACTTGAGTAAGTCAAGAGAGCAGAACAGACTAATGTTGTTGCCAGGAGAGTGGCTTAGTTACTACAGGAGTGAAGTCCTTATAAAGGATGAGTTTGGCTCCCTTCCCTCTACACCTCCCCCAAACTCTGGCCATGTGAGGCCCTCTGCCACGTTTTGATGCAGCAAGAAGGCCCTGGCCAGATGTTGGCCCTCAGTCTTGGCCTTCCCAGCCTCCAGAACCATAAATCAAATGAACTTCTCCTGTTGTTTATAAATTATGCAGACTGTGGTATTCTGTTATAGCAGCAGAAAATGGACTAAGACTATAATACTCCTATATAAGAGCATTTTTTAAAAGGCCTGGAAGAATACTTATCAAACTCATGACAGTGGTTACTTCAGTGAAGGGGCAAAGGTCTGTAGGTTAAGAGTCCAAAGGGACATATGGCTTTTTCTGAAATATTCTGAATTTTTAAAGGAAAACATATACACGTATTACTTGTATAATTATAATGACTAAAATAAGACACACTTTTTTATTTCTTTTATTTGAAGGTGGAAGACAGAGAGAGAGAGAGAGAATCTCCCACCCACTTGAGCCATTATCTGCTGCTTCCAGGTGCACATCAGCAGGAAACTGGAATCAAAAGTGGAGCCTGGACTTGAACCTGGGCACTTCAATATGGATGCAGGTGTTCCAAGCAGCATCTTCACTCCTGCAACAAGTACCAGCTGTGGATACAAATTTATATATGCAATATGAACATAAACATGTAAAATATGGTGGTAAAAACACTAAGGGAAGTCCACAAAACCCTAGTGATAACTGTGTTAAAATGGTAAGATTGTTGGTAATTCTTTTCTTCTTTTTTTTCTATTTCTAAACCGTTTCCTGTTTTGTGGGTATAAAATAAAAATTTTTAAATAAAAAGTAATTCAGGTTGTATGCTGCTGCCAGATTACATATGTTATGTTTAGTCCTTTTTTATTTTCATTTTTATTTAAAGGTCATAGAGAGAGCGACAGAGAGACAGATGGAAAGAAATCTTCCATCCACTGGTTCACTCCCTAAATGCCTGCAACAGCCAGGGTTGCACCAGGCTGAGGCCAGGAGCCCAGAACTTCATCTGGCTCTCCCACACTGGGGGCAGAGACCCAAGTACTTGAGCCATCACCTGCTTCCTCTGAGGGTGCACATTAGCAGAAAGCCAGATCAGAAGTGGAGTAAGTAGCTGAGACTCAAAACAAGCACTCTGATGTGCAATGCAGATGTCCTAAGCTGTAATGTAACCCCTGTGCCAAGCGCTCACCCCCCAGATGTAGTTCTTAAGAAGCAATTGGCTCCGGCACAGAATTAGTTATAGAAATATCAGCTTGACATCATTTATGTAAAATTCTAATCATCCTTGGTGACAGTCTCCAAAATTCAGTTGATCAATATAAAACCCCATTCCGCAGCTGATTCATTACTGGTAGTCACCCCGAGACCCTACAATTCCTAAAAACTAGAGATTCCATTGGAGTATTTTGAGGCTTTCTTTCTCACACACAGGCCACCACCTGACTTGTTAAGGGCTTTGTAAATTGTTCATATCAAAAAAGCCCTCCAGGGACAGGCCACCTGCAATGCCGGTTAAAGTCCCTGCTGTTGTACTTCTGATCCAGCTCCCTGCTAATGCAGCTGGGAAAGCAGCAGAAGATGGTCCTTGGGCCCCTGCACCCGCATGGGAGACCCAGATGAAGCTCCTGGCTCCTGGCTTCAGCCTGGTCCAGCCCCGGCCATGCAGCCATTTGGGGAGTGAACTAACTCTTTCCATCTCTGTCTCTGTCTCTGTCTCTGTCTCTGTCTCTCTCCCCGTGTGTGTGTGTGTGTGTGTGCACACGCGCGTGCGTGTATACATCCCTCTCTCTGTAAATCTGCCTTTGAAATAAATAAATAATCTTCTTTTAAAAAACTCCTCCTCTGTGGTGTGGAACTCAGATCCAAAAGCTACTTCCTAAGAAAAATCTGACTTCACCTGCACCTGACCTCCATGGGGATAGGAGGCAAACCTCGGTGCAGGCCACAACACTGATCAGGCTTCTCAACTTTCAAGCTAGAATGGTAACTCTGTCACCCAACCACCTGTTCATCTGGCTTCCAAAACATATGGATCCTGCCTCAGTCAACAACAGAGCATACCAATACCTCTGGCCTTCATCAAGGCCAGAATAAATGTAGTTGGCCTGACTGTGGGAAGAGATATTTATGGAATATATTGTAAGGGACATTCTATCCATCCCCTCCTTTAGGTGGCATTTTAAGTTGTGTCCTCAGATCAAGTTAGAGCACCAGAAGGGTGCATGCCTAAACCATCTGAGCTCAGATCCTGCAGAAGTACTTTAATGCTACACCCTTGGCTTTTAGCCAGAGTAGTTACAAGCAAGTAATACGCAAATCTCTTCTGTGTGCATTCTGAAGCTGTTGGCGAGGACATTGTCCCTTATATTAATCCCACATGAGAAATTGCTTGTAGAATTTTGTGCCAGCAGTGGACCATTGTGTAGCTGTTAAAAATTATAATTATAGAAGACCAAATATGAAAACATGTTTGTGATACATTCACCAAAAAAAAAAAAAAAAAACCACAGAACACAAAATGGTAGATAGACTCCAGCTGCAATCACGTGGAATTCCATGTATCTGTGGACAAGGATTGAAAGCCGATAGGCAAAGATGAAAGTTGCATGAGGGCCGTGGGATTCTTTTTCTGTTTTTCAAAAAATTTTGTTTGCTACAGTCCTGTCCTTTCAATTGAGGGAAAAGAAGAATTTCACAGCAGGAAGATCTCTCCCTATCTCTCCTGAGGAATTGCTATGCTTCTCTCTCTCTGATAACAAGGATTGTGTAATTTACTGCATTTCCTCCTTTCCCCTGACTTACCCAAAAGGGTGAATTTAATGCTCGGTCTTCATACATTAGCTCCCCCTTCCTTTCCATGCCTCTGATTTTCTCTTTCTATAATCTGATGACGTTTGTACTCTTCTTTCTGTAAGATGTTTCAAATCCCTGGTAGAAAAAAAGTTATTCACAGTCATAGTAAATTGGAAAAAAAAAATATATATATATATATAAGAAAGTGAAGTGGGGGGAAGGATCACCGCTGTGAATGTTTTTTGATGCTGATGTTTTAAACAAAATGATGAGGATGTAGGATACAAAGTATTGCATCCTGCGCTTTTCCTGTAACTTTAAAATGAGCATGTTTTTGTGTATTGGAAACCCTGCAGCTGTATCTCTGGTAACTATGATGCTGGTAGGACTGTCAGGTGTTGAAAGGTCCACAGCAAGGGTGACCGTGGAAGCTTGAAGGCCCCTTAGAACCGGAGGGATGAGGCACGGGGGGTGTTACTCACGGGTGGGCTGCGGCCTAGGCGGGGGCAGGTGGAAATTTGTGCGGGTGTACAGTGCAAGCTCAGAGCAGCCCACGGCCATAAGGGAGAGCAATGCGGGGTCTTACACTCAGATTGGCGATCACAGGAAAAGAGATTTTTAGAACTAGCAGAGGCCGGCACCACGGCTCACTAGGCTAATCCTCCGCCTTGCAGCGCCAGCACACCAGGTTCTAGTCCCAGTCGGGGCGCCGGATTCTGTCCCGGTTGCCCCTCTTCCAGGCCAGCTCTCTGCTGTGGCCCCGGGAAGGCAGTGGAGGATGGCCCAAGTGCTTGGGCCCTGCACCCCATGGGAGACCAGGAGAAGTACCTGGCTCCTGCCATCAGATCAGCGCAATGCGCCGGCCGCAGTGGCCATTGGAGGGTGAACCAACGGCAAAAGGAAGACCTTTCTCTCTGTCTCTCTCTCTCACTGTCCACTCTGCCTGTCAAAAAAAAAAAAAAAAAAAAGAACTAGCAGAGATTTTAGCGCTCATCTCTTCTCGTTTTACAAATGAGGAAACCAGAGTCAGAGGAGGACAGTTGCTTTGGTGTACATGGAGGCTATGGAGTCAGCATGCCTGAATTTGCACCTCTGCTCCCCAAGTTAGTAACCACAGGCCTTCAGCAGTTCCCTCTACCCTAAGTCTCATTTTCTCTGGGAAATGAAAATAGAAAGTCATTTTGTTTATATGCTCATTGTGTCGATTAAATCAGATAATTCACGTAAAGCACTTAGCCTGTTGCCTAACACATAATAAAATCCAATAAATGTGACTTATTAATATTAGTGTCATTAGTATCATCATTCAACCAGTTGTGTTGAACCTGCTTTTTGGATCCAAAACGTACTATAAGTTGCCTCAAACTTAGTTGTGGTGCCGACTCAACAAATCTATTCGGAGCTAAAATCTGAGTAGTTCAGTCTAGCGTGTACTTTATGTGAAAGCAGCCACCCAGCCTGGTGTCTGGAAATGTTTATTAACTGAAGAGGTTTTTTTTTTTTTTTCAAACAATGATAGGGTTGGGAGGGTGGCTTCTAAGACGAGAACTACAAATCTTTCATAGAAAAGACTCAGGGGAGAGGCCAAGCAAAAAAATGTATGCTCCATGCCGATCTGTGAAGATCAGGGACAAGCAAAGGTTGTGCTTGCTGACAGTCCTTGAATTTTCTCACTGCGATGTCTGTTAATCCCTCCATCTTTCCCTGTGTTGCTGGCCAAGAATCCCATGGAAACTCTCGGCGAGGGTTGTGGATTTTTTTTTTTTTTCAGAGCTGGGCAGGGTAGGAAAGAAGTGGGGAACTGTCTATCTCAATTCAAACGAATAGAGCTGGTTTGGCAGCAGGCTTGGGGGAGGGGGTGGCACCCAGGTAGAAGAGTGGGTGATGGCAGTGAAAGAGGCAAGAGAGACAAACTCCTATGA